GCAAAACGGTGTGTTTGTGAATAATTTCAAGGAGGACATAACCGTTGTATGGCAGGTTTCAATAGCGACATGTTGCAGATACTATGAAGGTCAATGAAAACCGGAGCGGACAGCTTCGTAATTTTGGTGGAGAGTTACACAAACAGCAAGGTACGGATAAAAAGTTAATGCTTTAGGCAAATGATGGCATACTAGGTATGTGTATAAATAGAGAAGAAAAAGGAGTTTCGACCCCCGGACTCATAATTTTACTCGTCTAAGCTTTTTTGCTATTTCTAGAGTCCATCGTCAGAGATAGAAGGCTTCAACGAAAGACAAGTAACAGTTATAGGAGGCAGGGGCCAATCAACTGTTATACGGGGAGGATGGTTGATTGACACCCCCCCCCTATAACGCTTGGTTGATCTCTGCCTCGTATAGCTGTTGCTAGTCTTTCGTTGACGCCTTTTATCTCTGACAATGGACTCCAGAAAGAGCCCGAAAGCTCAGACGATGATTGGAACGCTTTTTTGTTTTCTATCTAAATGCTTTATCAACCAGTCTTGTGTTCGTCGCGGCCTACTGAGCGGGGTTCGCAAGTATCTGATATTGAGTATGTCCCTTTGGGCCTAGAACCTGCTTCTGAAAGCTTAAAAAATGATAAGTGGGGCTTGCTAAACCAGCAGGGAAGTGTTTATATTCATGATGGATTTTTGGTTCGCTCCCGCCAATGGGTATTAATACCCAGGTAGCCCTTAGGAGACATTACTTTTGATTTTCAGCCCATCGTTTTGGTCACTCCCATTTTCCATAGTACAGCGTCATAATGCCATTACGTTAGCTACTGTTTCTAACGACATATCATTCACTACCGTACTTCTTTGGCGCAACGCTCCAAGCCCATCGTCTCCTCAGCTACAAAAAAGTTTATCGTGGCACTGTGGCGGACAGCCACATTGCCTCTTCCCCCTTTGTTCTCCAAGGCTCGCTGCCCCATAGTCGTGTTGTCACAAGCAACTGTTATAATGCTTTCACTGGCGCCCCCGTCCGCCGAGGCTTGATCTCGCAGCCGCTTCTGGCTAACCAATAACAGTTGCGTCAGCGTCCCCCGTCCTTCGGCGTTCCTGTGGTCCTCTACAGTTGACTTCAACTTATTCACTTACGCACATACGTGCGCACACACGCACTTTACATACCACCCCTTTGGCCAACGCAGCAGGAGGCCTTCGCAGGCAACATCCCCTCGGGCAATTGCAACACACCAATGACAGAATACTTGAGCTCGCTTCAAAGTCATGTAAAAGCAACTGTTATCACACCACACAACACTCAGTCGACATTCACAGGCCTGACTGGACGCAGTCAGGACCAGCCCTGGCTTCGCCAGTGGCCACTGCCACCTGAGACAGCAACTCAGGGTTTTGTATTCAATAAATCCATCATTCTGGTGACTCTTGTATTTTACTTTCCACCTAGTATTCAGCCTGATGATTGTAGTGATCTAGTTACAACCACAACTAAGACCCCTTCAGCAACATCACTTGTAATTTTCATACACCGGCCGTAGCCTTCATGAGCCTTTATGGGGAATCTACGCTGTAAGGGGCGCAGGCCCTTTGTACAGATTCAGCTCTTTCAAAGAGTCTCCTGATTTAATGCTAATTTAACATCAATTTTTGCTTGATTTGAAAAATGTAAACCATCAAGTTAGCACCATAGAACAAAAGACGAAAACATGCGAATAATCCAATTTAGGTTTATTTTTTATTTTATTTGGTCGGCTTTGTGAATTAACAAATTAAATAGCTTTTTCTTCGAATGCTTGGAGGTACAGAATAGTTTTAGTGATTCTGCTGATATGTACTAACGAAGGGAGGGATACAAAAATCCCCACCGGAAGTCATCTGCTTAGAAATTACAGCGGATAAAGAGCCAAAATGTGTTAACCCGCCAAGAAGTTTGGGCTGCTTGGAGTCTCCTCTTACCAAGCGTCTGTATAATGATGGAAGATTGCGTCAGAATGTAAGTTGTAATTTAACGGTGTTTGCCTTCGTTTAAAATCGCCTCACTACTGGACTAAACTGTATTTATCAGTACAGTATTTTTGGTTTGGGTACTGATTAGAGGTATTACATTCTACCTATTTAACCTATACCCCAAGTCCGAAAGGTTTTGAAACCGTAGAATATTTTGCTAATTTATTTTCTTCTGTTCTTTTTTTTGCCTGTCTCGGTTCCAGTGAAGTCCTAAAAGTTTGAAAAGGTAAAGCAAACGGCCCAACATTTTAGTGTTCCCTCCACACAATCCGTCTGTTCGGGTGATGGTATAAAAAGAGTGGGGCGGGACCGCAATCATACAGCACTTGCAGGCAGGAGAAAGTACATAGGGCTCTGAATAATTGCCACCCATTTGGTGCGGACAGCTGACGTTAATAACCTGAAGGTACACTTTTGCATTCAGTTTGGTGATGGGTACCGGAAAATCACACTTTCACCGTCCAAACAACCAAATAACTGACAAAAATGCCCTGCAAGCTAAAGACGCTTGCTATTTGAACAATCTCCCTGCCTCCGGAGAGAGAATCATCTACCAAGTTTGCAAGGACAAATGCAACCGAAGGGAAAACTTCTGCTGTGCTGGTATCCTTTGCAGTTGTTTGCTTAATCTGCAATTGCTAAGCAAATCAAGCTCTAGAAGACCCTGGAGGCCTGAATATATGAATGGGTTGTGGCCGCTAGGGCTTCTTGGAACTCATGATCAGCCGCATGCTGACTCCTCGCGCCCCACTGCTGCTGACATCGTGCCCCTGGGACCAGGCGCAATTCACAGTAGCTTGACCTCAATCTGTCCAATGAGAATCCCACGTTAGTCGACTAGCCTCCTTAGTAGGCTGGCCCCGATCCGTGTGGACACAGACCACAATTCGATGTCCGTCCCCAGGCATCACTTCGGACCTATCCCCCCTCTCGTGGCTGGACATGCGCTCCGACAGTCAAACCTTCCTCCTGGCTATTCTCCAACCCATCTGTACAGAATAAACTCTTCACGAATGAAAGAGAACGTTCGCATTCCGATTATTTGCATTGGTAAAGAAGAAAGAGGGTCGAACAACGGAACGATTTGTTTGTTAATCTATGACGTTTAATTGACCCATCCCCTATAAATGTTCAGCATTCAAGAAGTCAAGATAGGCGAACGAACGTTTTCGATTAATTCATTATGATT